CTTACTTGTTTCGAGTAACTTTGGACGGCTCGATCGACGCCGTCGGAAGCTCCGATCTCTTCTTGAGCGATCATATGGATGGCCAAGATACGCCGAGAGCTCTGCAATGGCCCTGAGCTCGCCAGGTGTCCGAGGAAGGAACTGATGGTCAGTGTGGAGCGCCAGCGCAATGCTGATTCCTGCCGGCGCCGGCCAGCACTGCAGATGGCAGCAGTGAAAATATCAAACGTCGGAGCAGACTGCAAATCAGCATTCTTTTGAAGGGAAAAGGGTGGAGGAAGGCACACCGCAGGGAGCTGCAAGGGGGCCTTTACAATGGAGTGCGTCGCCCTGAGCTCGCGCTGCTGTCAGGTCCTCGCTGCGACGCCTTTCTCGCGTCGGTCTCAATCTCGCGCACCTGCTCGATACACAATCCCATTCCCCACTTCATCTGCATTCCACAGGAACCTGCTGCAGATTACTGTCCCTCACCCAAGGCACAACGCTTCGTCGAGCAGAAAAGGGATTGTGGCCACACTTGCTGAAGAGGAGAAGCCCAATGCAGGGCCGTGGTCTGTGAGGAACGACTTTGACAAGGACTATGTGCTGGTTTCGGAGGATGCCGATGAGATCGCAAAGGAGATCGAGAAGGTGGAGCAGGAGAATGCCCTGCTGAGGAGTAGGCTGGCGGACGTTGACAAGCATGCAAAGGAGACAGCTGAGGACAGGAAAGACAGGATTGATGTGGACCACCCTAGGTTGGATGCGCGCCCGCCACAGGGGCAAGAAGAGCAGGCCGTGTCTGAGCAGGCCGTGTCCGAGCAGGTCACATCTGAGCAGGTCGTGTCTGAGCAGGCAGTGGCCGCACCACCCGCACCCCAGGAGAGCGCACCTCCAGGTAGATCTCGTTGGCCAACCAGTTGCTTCCTGCTTATCATCATCTTCTCTAGGCGCTACCTGTTTCACAAACCTCTCACATTTGATGCACCAGTTTTGTCGCTGGTTTCTGCGGCGGTCGATGTTGCACTTTCTTCTGCTCTTGGTAGATTGTGATTACTGAACTAGTAGTAAGCTCATGCCATCTTAGGGCTGTGATTGCCACTGGACACCAGCAGATCTGATCTGACAGATCTTACTGCAATGCCAATGGTTACATCTGCATGTAATTTGGGCAAGCGCCCGGTCTACCTCCTATGTAGTCGGCGACGGTGAAGTTGTTTACTTCGATCTTTGGCATACCAGTCTGGCAGAAGTCTTGGCTGAAGGGGAGGTTGCTTGGTGCTGGGGTTGACATTGGAGTTGCCGGCTTGGATGTGAGTTGAAGGCTGAAAGTGCAGATCTGATAAATTTGGCCGATCAGATCAAAGAAAGTGAGTGGCGCCTCTCGGACATCCAATTGCCGAGTTAAGGAAACCCTCGTTTGAAGTTCGTTGTGGTGTTGATTAGGTTTCGTTACAAGGGCAGCTTTCATTCACATGCTGCAGAGCATTTGTATGCCACTGCAATTGGGAAGCTGTTATTCCCTACTTAATGGAACATTCTTAGTTAGCTTGCGGCAGCTTTTGTTCCTGACGATTCAGTTTCTTTGATCTCTAGAAGCATCTGCAACTTTTCTCGAGCGACAACAAAGACGTTTGAGTAAACTCCAACAATGCTTTATGTAGAGCAACCGAAGGGACGACCTGGCTGCTAATTATTGCAACTGTTGAATGCTTCAGCAGCAGATGTGCCAATGATCCTAAAATAAGCGCCCGTCACTGACTTAGCAATTTTGCAGAAAAGCAAGCGACTTTCTACTGTTTTGCAATCTTGGCGGTCGCCCGCTTTGTTCTCCAGATGGGAAGCAGTGTACCAGCGTTTCTATGAATGCTGTTGCTCCAGCAGCATGGTTGAGATGTTACGCTAGTTTCTTGAAATTGACTAACTGATTGTAATCTCTTGTGGGGGATTTTGTGGGCCTGGATTTGGAACAGTGTGCTGCTGAGTTTCTCAGGCATAGGCCTGTCCAGGTAGTAAAGTAAGTTTCTTATTGCACGTTGGAAGCAGGAATATTTAACAACCCCTGACACAATGGTAATCTCAGATGAAGTCTAGAAGGAGAGTGTCTAGCTGCGTACATCACACTCCTTCAGGATATGAGTCCTTTGCAGAAACCTTCTAACGTGTCTCCTTACCAACCTTCTAAAAGGAACGTCTACATTTCCATACACATGAACATATTCCTATCCGCCTTTCAATGTTGCTGCTTGGCAACCCTCCGGCTCTTATCTTGGCCCCAATTGATTCTCCACTAGGTCATCATTTGCAAGGCTTTGTCTCTCGCAGGCCCCGCCTCGTCTCCGCCAGAGAAGGCCCCTGAGCAGAGCCTCGAGCAATCCACCCTCGCACGCATCCAGCAAAAAGACAAGACCGCCAAGGCCGAGAACCCCATCAGCATCGTGTTCGTGACGTCGGAAGTTGCGCCCTACTCCAAAACGGGGGGGCTCGCTGATGTCATCGGCTCGCTCCCCCCCTCTCTGGCGGCGCGGGGGCACCGAGTCATGGTTGTCTCCCCCCGCTACATGAACGGCGTGACGGACCATCTTTACAAGGGCGCACTGGATGCAGACACGAGGATCCAGATTGGGTGCTTTAACGGGTCGCACGAGGTGGCGTTCTTCCACGAGTACAAGGACGGGGTCGACTGGGTGAGTGGGCTTTAGTACTCCCTTTTCGTTTGAATCAGTTATGATTCGACCCGTGGTGGCGCATCTGCACGAGCGGAGATACACATTCAAATGACTCAGGGGACGTGCTGAAGTCCTCCAGACTCCCTTTTACATTGTTGAGGTGATGTGGCCTCTGGTTGTTGAAACGGGTAAAGGATGGGATGCGTGCATGATGGTATACTTGTTGGAATAACCAGGGGTGAAGAAGTGGTGAAGGAGAGGACTTGTTCTTTGAAGACTGTCACAATGCCACTGTGTCGACCAAGCTGAGGACCCGCATAACAGTGACATTGTCTATCGCTGGTCCCGTCGCGGAGGAAGGAATCCGCTTTTAGAGTCAGGGCTTTGGACGAAGCAGAGCTGAAAATCAGTAGCAATCCAATAGTACAAAGATCTGATCAGTCTTCAACAAAGAGAAAGCTCTGGGGCAAGCCCGACCACTAAACCCAGTTATGCAGAAATGAAAGACTTCGACTTTTTCCATCAACCTGTTGTCCAATTATCTCGAAGTCAGTCTGATAAGGGTAGTTTGTTGTCTGTGCAGGTCTTTGTTGACCACCCCTCTTACCACAGGCCAGGCAACCCCTACGGCGACACTCGTGGTGCTTTTGGAGACAACCAGGTAGGCTCTATATTGGACTTGCATGTAGCCAGAAGGTGATTGATATTATGCAGCTCTGCTGGCTTCACAAGATGGAGGGATGACGTGTCAAAGATTCTCTCCGCTTTGGATGACCAGCAGCTACGTTTCCGAAACCTGATTACAAGGTTGCGGCAAACGTTCGACGTAGGAAGCGCGAAGCTGTACCTCTTGCCTCAACCGGCTGAGGTCCGGCTTCAATCCTGTAGTTCTGATCCGTGACAGTAATCGTTATTCTTCCATGAGCTAGCAGAGCTTCCAAGATTGAGAGCTAGAGTGAACAGGAGGATCGTCCTGAATCTTCGACAGTCGTCCTTCTCACCTACCTTCTTTTTTGTTTACTTAGATCCGTATTGCTTCCCTTTCGCAGTTCCGCTTCACCCTGTTGTGCCTGGCCGCCTGCGAGGCCCCGCTCGTCCTTCCTTTCGGTGGCTACACGTACGGAGAGAAGGTCCTCTTCTTGGCCAACGACTGGCACGCCAGTCTGGTGCCTGTGTAAGTCAGACATCCAAGCTTCCCTCCTAGTTTCTTAGAAGGGTCGCGATTTGATGGATGTCTTCCAAAAATTGGACAGTGTCAAGGATTTGACATCTGACAACTTCGGACGGCAGTCTGATGACAACGTGCATCGCGGTAAAGAAACTCGAATGAGTGGGTCAACACGTAGTGGTTAGATGCTTATTCATGAGGACCTAAGTAGCAAGTCGAGAAGAGTCACAGGAGCCGTTCCTTTTGAGCCTAAGAGAGCGTCTCTATTGTCATTCCACTGCCATGCGTTGGAGTGGTCTGTTGAGGCGGTCAGAGAAAGGAGACGAGCAGTGGCATACGGAGGCATATGCGGCGGGCCTGGACTGATGGCTCTAGAATCCCGGCAGGCCTGAGATCTCGAAAGGCAATGCGCGCAGTTTGGCTGTACACAAGGCGTACCAAAACAAAGATCCACCGTTTTCGTTCGAAGAATGCACCGCTGGTTAAGGGTTTACCTGAAAGTGTACTGCCCGTGGTTGCCAGGTATGTCGCCGCGAAGTACCGCCCCTATGGAGTGTACAAGGACGCCCGCACCATCCTCGCTATCCATAACCTGTCCCACCAGGTGAGGCCCTTTTGCACCTCTGGTTTTCGTATGAAGGTAATGCTCGTCAAGAATAAAGCGGGGCACTGGAACCCCACACCTAACCGCACATGTGTCAAAAGCGTCTGCGTTACCTTGATCGCCCTTAACCTTAAAAGGATCATTTGCAAGCTTCTTACTTTCTCACCTGCGCCGGGGCCTTCCTTTCGGCAATTGGGATCGCCTGCTGCGAAGCAACGGACCCACAGTAATAACCAGAAACACGGGACGTGCCCTTGGCTTAAGACGCGGGAGTGGAGTGCGGCCAACTTTTCAGTGCACGGGCGTCTTCTAAATCTGACTCAATGAATCTGAGTCTCTGAAATCTGACTCTCTTGAGTCTGACTCACTGAATCTGGCTTTCTCAAATCTGACTTCACCTTGTCTGCAGGGCGTCGAGCCCGGTGTGACGTTCAGCAACCTGAGCCTCCCCTCCGAATGGTACGGCGCGCTTGAGTGGGTGTTCCCCGAGTGGGCCCGCAAGCACGCCTTCGACAAGGGCGAGGCGGTGAACCACATGAAGGGGGCCATCGTCACGTCCGACAGGCTCCTGACAGTCAGCCAGGTGCGCACCCCTTCCGTTGAAGACCATTTGGTCCAAAATTGGTGGTGCCTTAATTGAGTCTGTAAGCTGTGTTTGTAAGCTGTGTTTGAAGGGTCTATTTTGGCAAGAAGCTAGGTCTCTCGCCATGTACGGCCGCAGACGGCCATCATTCTGCCCGGTATCGATGCTAATGTTTGTAGTCTATGCTCGACGGGTCGAGTACCCTTCGAAAGCTAGATTCTTTGTCTCTGATGGTTTCGCGACAATCTGCTGGACAAACACTTGATATGCCCACGATCAGTAATCTTCTTCCATTGATCCTATGAACCTCGGGTTTTCAGCCTTGAGCATCTATTGCCTGAAATCAATTAGCCTGAAATCGATTAGATTGGCCGCTACAGGACGTGTGCTGGAACGGACAACACTTGCATGAAATGTTGATCGGTCTTCCGCGGTGTGCGTTGGTTGGACTTGGGTGTGGTGCGGCTAGGACGGCAGTGGGCGTCCTGAATGCTTCGTAAGGGAACCGAATAGTGCGCCTTTCATTGGCCCAGTTAAAAAGCTCTTGGCTGGCTTCTCCAGGGGTATGCTTGGGAGATCACCACTCCGGAAGGCGGCTGGGGTATGGACGGCCTCCTGCGCAGCCGAGCATCAGTACTCAACGGTGAGCGCGATAGCATGGCGTTCTTTGCACGTTTTCCTCTTTCAAGTCCCTTCTTCGGTCTCTGTCCCTCTTGCTAGCTTTCAGAAGAAGCAGAATCTGGGACAACGCGTTTAAGCGGGTTCGTAACCTCGAAGACGTAGCCACAAGTTATCCCTAAGCAGCACAGGTTTCAACGCATCGTTGTCTTTAAAGTGCTGCAGCTCCGCGCTCGTGAATCCGTTCTTGCATTCCCTCCCAATATCCCCTCGTTTTCCAGGAGGAATCGATCCTGAATCTAAATGAGTTGACCGCTCTTAGTCCTTATCCACGTCCCAATTTCGATACTCTAGTTTTTGGAACAGCGTGATGGGAGTCGCCGTCTTTCCAGAGTCTTTCCAGAGTCGTCTCAGGAAAGCGTTTAGACGAGTCTTCCTTCGACCTGCAGGCATCACGAACGGGGTGGACATTGACGACTGGAACCCAGCGACAGACAAGCACATTGCGTCACAGTACACCTTGGAGGATCGGTCTGGAAAGGTGGGAGACGGTTTGCGTGCTCTTACAGCATCCCGGGTGTTCACCTCCTTTTCAGACTTGTGTGCCACTTAACCATGTGACCCGGGTAGTTCTCGACGAGAGGCACTGTTTAGACTGTCGACCAAGCAAGTCGACTGAGTGCAAATTCGTCGTTTCAATGGAACCCCTTTCTTAGCACGGAAATCTCTGAAAAAATCTCGGAGAAAATTGGGTTTGTCTAACAGAAGACGATCATCACATGGTGAGGGGCAGTGAAGATGCAAGTTTGCAGCCATTTGCATTCTTAACCTTCTACTTCACCCACATTAATGCAAACGAAGTGAATGTGCAGGCGGAGAGTAAGGCGGCACTGCAAAAGGAGCTGGGCCTACCGGTCCGACCGGATGTGCCTTTGGTGAGTGGTCCGAACGATTGTTGATGCTCCACTGCAGGATTTTCACGCCTGCAAATGTTGTTGGAAGGACTTTTTGTCTCGCCGTCCTTGCTCAGAAGATCATCCACTGAAAGGGAACCAATCGTTTGACGGGCTCGGTAATATTTGATGTTTGGTTCCCTGTTCACAATGATAAGTGAAGCCTGTATCATATTGTCTGACGTCAGGCCCTGATCCGCATACTTAAACGACGTCGGTCCACTGTTCCTTCCTGAAGGCCGGGCTGAGGTTCAAAGTGTGTCTGGAGTCAACATCCTTCCTGATCACAGTGATAGCCAACAATATGTGTTGGATGCAACACGACTCAGGGCTACAGCTTTACCAGTACCTCAAGTGTTGCAAGTGAGGTATGGCAAGAAAGTGGAAGGTCTCTTAGTCGGCGACGACCTTGCAGCCCCTGACTGTCCTCATGATACTACCAGAGATTACCTCTGTCCTTTTTAGAATCCCGCATTGATGTCGCCCTTGTTACCTTCTTGCAGATTGGTTTCATTGGGCGGCTAGATTATCAGAAGGGGCCCGATCTCATCCAGGCCGGCCTTCCAGAGCTGATGACCGACGACGTCCAATTTGTGAGTGCTCCCACCTATGTTCAGTCTTCTTCGCCTGGCTTGTTGATCGGAATGCAGGAAGCTCCAATGAAGCACGCAGAGGTGTCGGAGAGCTCAATGTTCATGCCTTTCAAAATCTGTCAGAAGCAGTCCTTGCTCGCCACCAAATTCAGCATGCTTTGAATCCTCCTCGTAATATGGACGTCGTGCGAGGAGCTTGCAGGCAGGGCATGTGTTCGCAAAGCGACTTCCCAGAATTGCGTGAGACTTGGAAGCTCGACTTTCTCGTGAAGGCTCGAGCCCTGAACCCTCGTTGGCTTTTGATAGAGAATGTATAGGGGGCGCAAAAACCGTCCCATTGATACATTGAACAATAAGCCCCATGAACACCGAGAAGACAGTGTTGACACAGGTTGGGTTGCTTCACAGGGTGTGGGTGCAGAGCGCGTCGTGTTTGCGTTAGGTGCTTGGTCAGGTTGAGGGTTTACTGTTTACCGGGCTTGCTGTTCCCCAAACCGAGAAATTCATTATGCGAAATCTGTGTTCAGGTGATGCTGGGGAGCGGGGACACGGCCATCGAGTCATGGATGGCGTGGGCGGAGACCACGTACCGGGACAAGTTCCGCGGCTGGGTCGGCTTCAGCGTGCCGGTGGCGCATCGAATCACAGCAGGGTGAGTGTCCGCTGATCCGATTCAGCTGCTTAAAGCGGGAGACAGCAACTAGGGATTACGGCGAGTCCACTTCGTTGTTAAGCGGCTTTGGTCGCACCAAAAGTACATTCTGGAGCAGTGACTCGGCGACCATTTACGTGGGGATTGAGCGTTTAAAGTCGCCAAAACGTTGGAGATCCGGAGATGCCCTTTCTCAGGTGGCCAGGGGGTGCTTGAAGTTGCAGGAAGGGTTTGACAGGGCAGTCGGCTTGCAGCAGACAGAGCTGCCTTTCGGGATTCCAAGCAAGAGTGTCGCGGCCCGGCAGCTTATGACCGGTAGTAGCAGCGTTTGCGAGCAGCTACTTGAGCGATGGCTATCCACGCTCCAAATGTCCCGACAGGTTCTGCTGCCGTCGTGCTGATTTCAAGAACATCTGCATTTGGAAAAGTTCGACGGACTTGCCGGAGTGTGCTTGAATCTGGTGGCGCACAAGGGCAGTTACCCGCTTGGCGTTTTGGCATGTCGGCGAGTCCTTCCACGCTACAAAAGTAACATCAGACAATCCAAGGTGCCAAAAATTCGGACGCTGACGTGTTCTGGACCAAACCGTCGGATCTCCCAACTTTTGATGCGTTCTAGTGTTGACGACTTGGTTCTTGATTTCGCTTCAGGTGCGACATTCTCCTGATGCCGTCCCGGTTTGAGCCGTGCGGCCTCAACCAGCTGTATGCCATGCGGTACGGAACGGTGCCGGTTGCGCACTCCACTGGCGGGCTCAGGGTAAGGGTTTCGATGTGCTTTTGTTCTATGGTAGCCAAATGATTGAAATGTTTAACGTCAGCTTCCGCAGATTCGTTCAAACAACAAGCCTTCCCTGCGAGCAAAAGTGGTTGCTTCAGTGGGCCTGTTTGAGGGGGGGGCCTGTATAGCATCTTTTGGCCAAAAAAGGTGAAATATATGCAGTCCGGTTGGATGCCCTTCTTGCCAAAATGGCAATTGGAGAGTTTCTTTTGGAACATGATTTCGTGGGGGTAGATTGCAACTCTTACCATGCCTTCAAAGAATGTCGGTGCGATCTCAAGTGGTCGAAGATACTTTCATTGCGTGCTAGAGCTAGAACAGCGTACACAATTCCCTGAAGTCGCCACACGTTCCCTACTTGCATGCTTCTGCATTTACGTTCCTTTGCTGAGCCCCTGTCCACGCGCAATCGTTGCCTGGACGTTTCTCCCCACAGGACACGATTCAGGACTTCAGCGCTCTCGCAAACAACAAACAGGGCTCTGGAACAGGGTAGCTCATCCAAACCTTTTTCTGTTTTTCAACACTCCTTCGGGAGATCTTTATCCCTTTCCACGAATCCTTCGTCACTGGGTTTGCTGCTGGTGCTGGCACGCAGGACACGATTGAGACTTACAATCCGTTCGGCAGTGGTCGGGGAGGGTCAGGGACCGGGTAAGCTCTTAACCGTACACGTAACCCTTGGATTGCTCGCATATCTGTGGTCGTTGGTAGGGTTACCGGGATGCCAAGGTTCTGGGCCAACTCAAAACAAGGCCGGTGATAAGCCTCGCTTTCGCTTGTGTGCCTGATTACAGTTCAGCGCACTGTTACATGCGCAGTTTGAAGTCCAATGGTACCCGACATATAAGCGGCAACAACCAAGCTGCAGAAATAAAAGGGTCTAGTTCCGAATGACGTCAGTTCGCTTTCGTACGAGATATTAAGCCTGGGCTTCTCAATTAATTGCTGTCGGTTTCTTCAAGCATTTCTTTCCGGCTCACCCAAGGGTCTGTCCAGAGTCTTGTTGAGCACTTGTGCCGGGCGACCTAAGGCACGTTCAAGCTGCCACGCGGTTCGATCATTCCAAGAAGGCAACTGTGTTAAAAGCTGTTGCCGCAAGGAAAGACAAAAGTGCGTGCACAAACGCATTCGCTTGCTCCAACAGTAAAGAGAGACCTGGGTCTTCTTTAAATCTGGCTTCACAGCCTGGTTTTCACAGCTTCCGTGTTTGGCAGAGCCTGAATCAGGTTAAGAGGCGCATCGAGTGTCGGTCAAGGAAGCAATCAGGTCGTCCAGCTTTCTGATAGTATCAATACCCTAGCTATATGGGTGGGTACTGATGTTTTCCTCTCCAAGGCTTCTCTTTACCCGAGCGCCCCTTTGACTATGTACTTACGTCTGCCGCAGGTGGACGTTTTCGCCTTTGACTAAGGAGGCCATGATGTCGGTAAGTTCACCCAGTGATTCTCCCTAAGTGACATCAGCTTTTCGTGGAGACAAACCATGTTACAGACAAGAGACAATAATGCCGACGTCTTTTGAACTCACTGGACCTCTAGACTATCACCTGGGGCGCCTTGCAGCTACGTCTTCGTGCCTTTCTATTATGGTCAGGAATGTTTGCAACCCTTAGAACTTTCCATCCGCGGATCTCGAACGTCTTCATTGCAGAAGCCGATGCTCTCGCTAGTTTCGTTATACGATGCACAACGGTCATCACGCTCGTCTCAACTCAAGTCAAGATCGTTTGGAGCCTGTCTAGATCTATAGTCCTGAACAGATCGTGCATTTCAACGGTCTAATTGTGACAAAAGCCTCCGGATCCAATCCTTTTCGTTTTTCTATGGCAGCAAAGACAAAATGAACTTATCTATCTCGACGGCTTCTACTCCTCAAGTATGGGAGTCCCTCGTACACTACACAGCAATAACAAGCTCGTTCCGCTTTCCGCTCTGCAGGCGCTGTGGACCGCCATCTTCACGTACCGGAATCACCCCGAGTCCTGGGAGGGCATCATCGAGCGCGGCATGGAGCAGGACTTCTCCTGGAACCGGGCTGCGCTCCAATACGAGCAAGTCTTTAACTGGGCGATGATGGACCCCCCGTATGCATAGGAGCCCAGGACCGTATGCATAAGAGCATGTCACAGTCAGGCCTACGGTGTGTTGATGAAGAAGTGTGTTTTTGCGATCTCGGAGTGAGTGACGCCACGGTTTTGGAGGTATTTTTAAGTACAGAGAGGTGCATGTTTCCATAAGGTGCCGGCTTCCGGTTCGGCAAGTAGACAGGGAATTTAGATGTCGAAGCTCCTTGTCTGCTCCAAGTTAAGCTGTCCTGGTCGGTTCCAGTCAAATCAACCTGAAGGCAATGTCTGCCAGTCAGTTTCTGGCCGGGGACTCCTAGAACATCTTGAAGGTTTCCTGCACTTGTAAGCTTGCGGATGCTGACACGATCCAAACCTCTCGTCTAAGCGAGACCTTAAGTTGGTTGGCCGGATGCTGTTGGGTCATGCGGTAGAATGCGACGAGTTGCACTATGCAGAGCCAGCCCCAACGTTCATGTTAAATTCTAAACAACTGCTCACATACGTCATGATCAAATGTCTTCAGCTACCTCCTTAAGCCGGTCGAACTTGACTACAATGATGAGCGGCCCGCGCGTGCCGCTTCATGGTTGCATCATGCATGGCGCCTACTAATGGCAGCTCGAGCCCGGCCTGTGTCACCCGGCGAGTCCATCGGTTGATGATCGATTCCGCGAGTTTCTCAAGAAAATGGAAAACTTGAAATCGAGACCAGCGCAATGCCGAGTTGTACAGCCTGCCAGCCATGATCGATTTCAGTCGACATGCATCCGGTTGCATTGCGCTTGATGATATCCACATGGTGGCGGCATGTGTTTTTAGCAATCACGGTATGCATGTGTACATGTCACGATGGCAGACAGTGACGAAATTGATGATCGTGTTAAAAATCAGCAACTCTTTCCTGTTCTGCGCCCAGCGTGGCCCACTTGCTGATATGTCCTTTCCAACGGTGTCGAATTGTGTTTCGAGTCCACGGCTTTGGTAAGGTAAGTCGTGGACGGTGCTGCAACGGCATGTTGAAAGTTCCTAATCAAACATACATTGATAGATTTGTCATGCGCTGAATTACATAGCTCAAGACACAAACAGCTTGTTACAAGAGACGCATGCGCAAGTAACATAATTTGCTGGCAGACGCGTTGCAATGTGGACTGAAAGTCGATGCATGAAATTAAGGCCGTAAAAGGCCGCAAGGGGACTTCTACAGCTCAGTCGCGTTAAAAAAAGGGCTTGCAGATCAAGCTTGTATCAATCGACGGAATTATGCGGGCTCGTCTCTGCCAGAAAGATGAATCGCACCCCGGACATTCTGTTCGTTCGTACCAGAAGAGAGTCCTGTTCCACACCAGTAGAGCCATGCGCTGGCAGCCACAACGCGTGTCCTTCGTTCTGATACGAAGCCGAAGCGAAGCCAGCCGTTTCTCCGCCAAAGAGCCCAACTCCCTGCAAAGCGAATAACGTTAAACGTCGACTAAATGTAATACAGACCGGAAACCCCATGGGCCGTCCTTTCGGTTTGAACAACTTTGATTTCAAAACTCTCATAAGCTGCAAGTCTGATGCGTTTCCATAAAATCGCGCGAGACAGCCTCCGCCCCTAGCGGTAAAACTTTTTTTCACCTCTACAAGTATTCTTTTCGTTCAACAAACTTTGAAAGGAGGTCGAAGCTGAGGACAAGAATAGAGCAGCCATGACTTTCAAGCTCTTCGAGTCCTTCTGCTGTGGAGAGCAATGGTACAGTCAGGAAAGACCCCATGGTGTTTGAGACATACATGGACTATCTCACGTTTCTGCAGCTTCGAGAGAAAGAGAGGCGCAAGACGTCCTGTGAGACGTTTGAAGGAGACTGTGCCGTAGCGATTGCGAGCTTAATTGAAGTCCCCAGCGCAACAAGTGCAAGACGCATTGCTTAAACAACCATTACGCGCAACTTTAACTACCAGCCACTACTGACCGGTTTCCAGAGTTGGTTACCAGCTCGCGAGACCAAGCCATATCCAAAACAGAGAAGACAAATTCTTCTCAATGACTTAGTCTGCCGACCGGTGCTTTGGAGATAGTGACTCGAGAAACGGCAGATTCGGCAGCGGCACTCGCGGTCGAGTTTCAGCAGAAGCTCTTGGATAGAGGTGACGTCAGCATGGTCTGAAGTGCTCTACACATCGCTGACTGAGCGACGTCTTGTTGCACCCAGTGACTCTTTGTGGATTAGTGTCAAGGGTTTGAACTCTGGAGCCTTACTTCGAGGATGTACACTAGCGCGCCGGCTTTGGAGTGGAGCGGGATCTCCAGCCGGCAGTCGGGCCCCATCGAAACGTCAAGCAATTGCTGCGAAAAGGAGGACATAGGTTGCTGATTACAAAACAACGATCAAGGACTGACGAAAATCAGCTGCCGGCAGGAGATGCTTGCAAATCGGGCATCTAAATGGACTTTTGAAGGGGTGTCTCATTTTCCCTCTATCCGTTCCTTGTTGTCTGCAGGTTGAACAAAGTTCCCAAAGACTGCGTGATTAGCTTTTCCCAACTGTTCCTCTGCTGACTTTCGCGGTTGATGGCATGGTTGCAAATCCGCATCACGGCATGAAAGCGCGTTCAATGACAGCAGCCACTCCCACCAAGGATTGGACTGCCGGTCTGCTGTTGACACGAGCACGTTGGTCATCTGCGCACATTTTAGTGATACGATTCCCTCAGGAATCGGTTGCGGTTTCTTACAAGTTGCGGTTCGTTAAGTAATTCGGGCACTCAGAAGGACGACCCGAATCCACCCACATTCCTCATGGTAAGAGACAACCTAACTGTAACCGCTACAAGGACACGCATTAAAGCTGTTATTCCAGCGCAAGTACTAATAACTCCTTTGCCACTGCCTTACATTGGCTTCTGAGTTCAAGAGACTTCGTTTTCAAAACTCGGAGAACAAGTCCTGAAAGACGGAGAGACTCACGAATCCATCTAAAGGGGGTCCCGACCACACTCCCCCATACCCCCCCGCGACCACCTTCACTTGCCCACCCCCCGCTCCTGCTTCCGCCACAAACTCGGCCTCCCGTCCGTGGTTCACAATTGGCCAGTGCAACTCCGATCCTCCATCTTCTCCGTCTCCCACTGCTTTTTCCACTACTGGCTGCAACGCTGAGCGCAGAAATAGCTGCAACCCGTGCCGAGGTTGGTCTATTTCGTCAGAGGTCTCGGGGGCGATTGAGCGATCTGACGTTTCTGGGGGGGGTGGGAGGTCGTCGGCAGGATGGTTGCTGTGAGAAGGCTCTGGTTGGGGGGGCTCCAAGAAGTAGACGAGGGACTCGAGCAGGGGGGGGGTGTAAGGGGACGAGAGTGCGGGGCTGGGCGCGAGGAAGAACTCGTCAAGGCTTAGGAAAGGCCCAAATCCTGCATTGGTGAGGGAAAAACTCGGCGAGGATCACGGGATGTATCTGAACGTTAAAAGCTGCCAAAAGTTCTACGTACTTGAGTTGAGCGATTTGCGCTGGCGCGGGCCAATCTGGCTTTGGCTGATCAGTTCGAACAAGAGAGGTTCGAAGAACTTTCTTTCCAGAGGTCACATGGCCATCTCCTGCTTGTACAAATAGTGGTGGAAAGCAAGCACCTATTGGCAGGCCAATCCGTCTTCTTGGGCAACATTGTCCAACAAAGTTTCACAACCAAGAATCAGAACCATTTACGTGTTGCGTCAAAATACTAACCGTTTCAAACTCCGTGAAAAAACATGGTGGTTGCATCAGTGAGGGCGTTCACATGAAGAGCTTCTATTGACGCCCAAATTCACACCGAAAAGGGTATGCCTCACCTTGGGGAAGATCTGTCCCAGGGCCTATTATGCGAACGGCCCCCTCGTCCCCGATCCTCGCAGCTGTCAGAACTCTCTCAACTTGCCGCTGGCTATTTACGGTCATCTGTTCCCCCCTGCCCGCGTCTCCAACGGCAGATGCTGCGCATGCTTGTTGCAACCTCCCCCTCCCTGGTGTCTTACTCAGACAAGGGCTCAGGAAATCAGGAGACTGCAAAGTGGAGCCTACTAAATTTTGTGCTCGAGAAAGCTGCCGAGCACATTGATGGCAGATGGCATTACTGGAACGCCTCAGCAGTGGGGTCACTGACTTCGCAGAAGCGCAATTGGTCGGGACTCTTTGTGAGGGGGCGAAGGCCTGAAGGGAGCAGCCTACGCGAGCAGAGAGCGCTGCAGCAGTCATTTTGCCAATAGGAGACTGTAAGTGAGCACTGCTAGTAAACCCGTCAAACAGAACTGGTCCACCAGGAACCCAACCTGGAAGCGCAGATTGCAGTTGAAGCAGTGCCGGCAAACCGCTTTCTCACCCCCTGGTTCTCCTGCCGGTGGCGGAACTGATATCCAGCAAGTAACTGCACAGCTTGGGGCGTTCAAAGGAGGAGCCTGCCAATGTCCAGAAGACTTTCTAATCCAAAATCAAGTTCAAGTTCAACTTCAACTTGAAGTTCAAGGACAATTCTTCGCCAGGAAAGAATTGTGCCCCAGTCCCTCCCCTCAACCATTTGAGCACTGGTGAGAATAGGCGCGGGCTCACGAGGGCATCGGAAACGGCACGTGTCTGGTTGAGAGAAGTAGCGAAGATTATCATACGACCAACGTACCGTTCGTAAAAGCGTCGTTTTGGTGCTTTTCACACCTCTTGCGAACAAGAAGTGCTGGCTTCAAGTTCCAGGCACCTCGTGGTGAGCTTCGGAGTTTAAAGTTTGTTCTGTACACTCAAGAAATTTGTGAAGCTAGCAAAGCAGCTCGAAGGAGGTCGATTGGCGGGCCTAGTACCACGCCCTCTGTGTTTGATCCTGTTGAGGGATTGACAGATTTTGGAAGTAGGGGCCTCTCACAGAAGCATGGCAGCAAATGGCGGGGCTGAGGACATGGAGAAGGTTGACACTGGACCCCATGGTAAGCTGCCGTCGCCTCTCTTCGTGATTGCAAAGGACCTGCTATGGTGACCGAATCAAAGCCTCCTATGAGAAGCGAACCTAGTGTTGGCAAGAGAAGCTGGCGCCTGATATTTAAGTTTCAATGTATCCGTTCTGGTGGTTTTCTTGAGATGAAATGCCAAAGCTTGCTTTTAGAATGATGTGTAGGCGTGCAAGGCAGGGGGGTCACCGATCGCATTCCTTCAACTGAGTTCTCATGAATCAGCTCAGAAAGGGAATAACCAAAGAGTGGGCCTGCAATTTAGTGTCCAGTACCTTTTGGGCTTTAGCTGCCCTTAGACATTTATTGTAAGGAGCCAAGAGTCAGTTGGAAGTTCAGTGGTCCTTGGTGCTCTCAGGGATTAGCATCTAGTTCCTTGTTTGAGCAGAAACGTCATGGTTTTTCAAAGGGCTGTTTCCACTTTGTATGTATGCAAAGCTGGGGAGAGAAGGAAATAGGAAGGGAAGGGGATGCAGAGAGCAGATTAAGAAGAAACGTTTCATTTCAACATACAGGCTTCCAGCAGCTTTGCATCTTCACTTCAGGGTCTACCGACTTTTGATGAGTGGGCTGCATACATAGAGGCCTTACTAGTTGCCTCCAGACAGAAGAAGTCTTAGCGTGTTTGCTTTGCAACACATCGTGGTTCTACTTCGTTAATCTCTACTTTGCCAACCTCGGCAATCCGTTGATGGCTTGCGGACCTGCCCAGCCTCTGGACTGTCAATCTTCCAACACTGTCAACTGCAACATCTGAAAGGCACGTTGAGCAGCAAGTGTCTCTTTCCTAATGCAAGCTGTCTCCCAATTACCTGCAAGCAAGCAGAATACAAGGACACCTACTGTCTTTTCAGGCCTGAGTTACTATAACCAGCCTTTGGTTGTTTGTGTGCAGATTCTCAAGAGGATGCCATCAGCGACTGGAGCTCAGAGGATGAGAGCCCCATCTCTCCTCTGCAGCCCCAAACAAACACCTTAGACAGCAATCAAGCATGGCAGCCGCTCGCCTCTGTCGGGGGCGAGGAAGCGGGGGGTGTGCAGAACGGTGGTGGCCGAGAGTTTGGTATCGCTGAGCTGAGCAACATGACGGTGGAGGAGCTTGGCAGGCGGCTGGCAGCGGGAGACACTCTGGCCGTAAGTGGGGAGCAGTTGCTGAATTATCAGCCGGATGCAGGCGGTGCGAATGGGCCCCAGGTCGGGGAAATGACGCCGGACGAGGAGGAAGAAGAGGAAAGAAGGATAGCACAGCAGGAGGCGGCAATTGCGGAAGCGAACGCAAGGGAGGAAGAGCGGAGGCGAGCGCCGTTGCCAGAGGAGAAAAAGGAGGCGATTGTGAGCGCAATGAAAGGTTTTACGTTGAAGGGGTACAAGCCGCAGTGGGCGGCGCAAGTTCCGGACGATGAGCTCGTTGCAAAAGTGAAACGGAGAAGCGGCATGGAGAGTTGAGTGGCTGGCCTGCTGTGAGGCGTTGTTTGATATGCTATCTTAAAACTTTTCTGAGAAGGTAAAAGCAGGTACACCGACAAATCTGTTTACATTCGTCACGTATGGCAACTATTCTCAGGGCTCCGCATCAAATGAGGTCATGTTTGTGACCTAGCTAAAGTGAAGCTGAGTGGTTTTGGAGGGTGTAACGGTTTTGCGCATCCTGACATTTACAGGCTTCTTGTATATTGTAGTGTGACAAGTTTGTGCCATACTTAAAACGATCCCGGATTAGTTAGGGGGGCCTTAGGGCTATGAGCTCAAGTGGATGATAGGCAGCTGCGCGTGAAAGTTACTAATCACACCTCATCCGGGGTGGATTATTGCACAGCAAGTCAAGTGAGCAGCAGCTGTAGGCCCAGCTTGTGGTCATGCAGACAAACTGTACGACACGAAAGAAGCAGACATATCTTCCAACACCCAATGATCATGGGCCTCTCATAATATTGAGGTGGGTGCGCAAAGTAGGCATGCTTTAGGTAAACGATTCTTTGGCTGCCATCATGGTGTGTATGTACGCATGACACATCTCTCAGATTTGCACGTGATCTGCTGATCGAAATTGACATCATTCACAAAGCAGGGCATGTAGGCAACAGTAAACCTTGATTTCTGTCAGCATTGGGCAAGGGGCCGTCAAATCATGTACACATGCATCCGATACGACCAGACCATATTCAGCACATGCGCTGGATGGTTTGCGTTTCTGAATGTAGCACAGTCCAGGCTGCCCAGCATGTCACACGAAATAGCTGAGCACTTGGTCCGAGGATCATTCGCCCAGCTCAACCCTTGAAATGTAATTTGATAATATGGATCTAGCTACTTTTCCCCGCAAAGCTGACAATATAATGATACACTGCTTTCAACTAGATGACTAGGCACCTGTTCTATAGGCAACTGGTGTTTGAAGATGACTCAGTTCAAGCTATTAGCCTAATAGGCCCAATTGCTTGACAACTATGCAGCTACCTCACATTCATGTCCATCCAATGATTGTTACAATACTTGTAGTACTAAACAAAACATAAGGGCTGTTAAAACTCCAGCCTGTAATTACTAATTAAGAACCCCACACGCACAAGGAAGGATTGATTGCCAAAAGCATGATCGAAGGAAACAAACTCTTTCAGCTCACAATCACTTTCCTGGATCTGTAGTTACTCCTTGAACAATCACGTTTGCTGTAATCTGTCCCCTATCCCACTGCTCATTGCCTGAGGTAAAATCAGACCTCACTATCTTCGCGCGTTCAATCAGAGAATCGTCAGTATCAAGGCGGACATAGACACCCTCAAGCAAACCATCATAGTAGCTAGACTTTCTATCAATCATCTGAAGAAGCTCCTTTCTTCCAAAGCTGTCACCTTCAGCAATTACTGGAACGCTGTGTATGTTTGTACCTTGCAACAACTTTTGGAGCCTGCTGAAGCTGTAGAAACGCATAGCCGCGACGTCCAGGATGTCAAAAGCCAAAAACGTGTCAGGCAAACGTGTGTAATGTATGGAATGTTTTGCAGCCAACCACTCACCATACATGATGAGCTGGGCCCCAGGCAGACTTCCGTAAGCTGTCAAAATGTTTCAAAGACTTTCCTTGTGGGAGTCTAGCCAAAACCACAGCTTAGAGTACTGCGGATGCGACCTGGCAGTCACGTAGCCAGACCTGTTTTGTGCTTTCAGCTCAAATGTGTCTGGATCAACGGAAAGTCCCATATTGCTGCCATCTATCTTTTCTTGCACAATCAACCTGTGTCCTGGTTTGGGGCTTAGAAAGGTGGTTGCTTCGCGATCTGAAAAGACTCGATCATCTTTGGTAGCCCCTCCCAGGTTGAAAAGATGCTGAGTGCGAGGAAACTTGTAAAAGTTGTGCAGAACAGTGCTGCGACAACTTACAGGAGCTTTCAGAGCAGGCGAAAAGAAAGTGTCGCTGCGCAGGCAAGGCAGAACAGCCGCCATGCCAAGCGTGTTGCAAACGAAAAGGAGGTCCGCAAAAAGCAGGCCGCCAGCGGGGGCCCTTGCAAGTTGCAATGGCTGAACAAACTCAAGCTGTGCAACCATCATGCAAGCTGAACTAGAGCGGAATGATTCCCCACCTCCGATTGACCCGGTGAGATCATTACCATATACGATTCAATGAATCGTAGGCTTCTGAGTCTCAGTATTTTCCGATCGGAGCCCTGTTGTGACTCTGGAGAAAACCATTACCATTAATATCATATGACGGTAACAAATACGTTCAAGTTCGTGACAATCAGTGTTCAAGACCCGTTAGCAGCAGGGTTCAAGACCATGTTGAAAGCGGTGGAAAGCCTGTATTGGGAGCAAAATGCCGTTCAGCCTCTCACCAGGGTCGCAAGCCTGAGGAGCTTCTGGGTTCGCCACCTGCATTCTTCCAATGTGCTTCAAGTTGAAGCGCGGAAGAAGGTCACAAGAGGAAGGACTAGGGAGATAGAAGATGATGACATAAGTGACTTTGCCAATTTGAAGATGTTGAGAATAGAAGACCTGACCTTCGAGCAGATTAAAAACGGGGATGCAGGCCCGTTTCAGGCAGAATTCGAGAGAATGGTTCAGGAGAACGAAGCTGACATCCGCAAGCGTTGCAAAAAGGAAGGGCGTTCCCACCAGAAAAGCTTAACAGAGTAGGTGAAGTTTGATTCCGCGCTTGCTTAGAAACCGAAGACTGGCAGTCGTCAAAAGAGATTGCTCTATGCACTAGGTGGCATTAGGTGGCGCTCAAAGGAGGTTGCTCTCAGCTGCGGAAGGTGCCGCAGTTGAAGTGGGGAGAGGCTCTCGCTATGCTAGTCACAATCGAGTAAGTCCGAGTCAGAGTCTGAGTTACCCCTTATCCACCCCCTATTGAAGTCCTGTTTGATTGACATTCTCAGCATTCAAGGATTCTCGTCATGGATTGCGCCAGGCGCGCCGCTGGCATTGCCCGCTCCTTCCCTGGGTGGCTTCAAGACCGCAGCCTTGCTGCGGTAGCCTGGAGGCAGACCTCTGCGGAGCAACCTGTCAATTCGTGCAACGAACTAGACCAGGGAGAGAATCTTTGCCACCACCGTGAAGATGAGAGTGGCGCCGTGGAACAAGACACTGTAAGCAGCCGCCAAGAATTGCGGGGGAGGTGGAGGAGCTCTCTTGGTTTTCACGCTTGGCTTGGAGCCGAACATCGCAGTCATCAACAACAGCGGTCCTCTTTCCCTTCCTTGGGAGGATCTGGCAGCAGCTTAGGGGGTTTACGATTGTGCGAGCACAGCTTGTCGAGGCGGCACAGTATACCTCTGAGTCATAGCCGATCATGGTGGTATAGCTTATGGTCTATGCACTCTGGGGACTTGGCGGGGCAGAGCAATCAGCGGTGCTGGGCGCTGGAAAGAGTGGCGCTCGCGCATACGAAAGCTGGAGCGGGGCCCGCAGCTGAGATAGCCAGTGATCCTGACAAGGTGAGCTTGCAACTTTGGTCTCTCAACGTTCTTAAAAGGATTCAGTTGGCAACTTTCGTCTGTAGCTGGTAAACTGAATTGGTATTCAAACAGAGTCGCTTCGCCGGGGCCTCTTGCCGATCAGGCTCCGTTCGCTGATATCGCACAGGATATGAAAGTAGGAGACAGTCATGAAAGGTTTCATGCGGACTCTGGCTCAAGTTTCAGGCGGTGAGAGGGTCCTCAATTGGGCCTTAAATTTGACCAACTTTTAAGCATCCCAAGGGGGAGGTCGAACCTGGCTGTTTGCCAACGGGATAGTCGCCTTTCCCACACAAAGCCTGTTCGTAGCTTTAATTGACCCCTCTCGTATTTTTCATCCTGCAGCGCCCTCTGGAGGAGTATCAGCTCCCAAAGCGTCAGGCCCTCGACATGCGCACCGTCCCCTCCACCAAAGTCTGCACCGTCTGCGAAATCGAGCTCCCCGCCGCCGACTTTGCCTGGCGCACGGCCTCCCCCGACGGCCTCGAGTTCCGCTGCCGCGCCTGCTACGCCGTGCAGAGCTACGCGGCGCGCGGGCGCATATTCCCAGGCCTCCGAGTCTCCGAGAAGCGGTGCGTCAAGTGCGGTCAAGTGCGGCCCGGGACGTTCTTCGCGGCGGCGCGCGCGACCTCCGACGGGCTGCAGCCGCGCTGCCGCACGTGCGCGGCGAAGAACAGCGCGAGACGGCTGGCGCGGCTCGCGGGCGAACGGGCGGAGAGCGCGCGGTTCGAAGCCCCGCCCGCGACGACGATCTGCTCGAAGTGCGCCCAAGAGCTGCCCACCGAGGTGTTTCATCGGGACATCTACTCGTCCACTGGGCGCGCGCCGACATGCCCCGCGTGCAACTATGTTCGAGTGACCGAGCGGCGGAAAGCGGTCGGGCGGCCATCCGAACCGCTCGTTGCGGAGAAGCGGTGCTCGGCGTGCCGCGACGTGAAACCCGCGGACGAGTTTTACTTCCACGCCTACTCGACGGATGGGCTGACGTACCAGTGCAGAGAGTGCTGGCAGGCACAAAAGAGACGGAATAAGGAGCGTACGCTAGCGAGCCAGGGAGCAGAGGGAACGGACAATGAGCCGGGGGCTGGAGGAGCATTGGAAGGCACATCGCAGAGCATGTAGATGTACGATCCTATGCTTGTGTCCCGATTAAGAGCGATAGATGAAAGTCCGTGATTGGGTTATCGAATCCGAGGTAAATCAGGGACGCACGCCCTTGACAAATGCCTAATTATGTGTTACCGATCAAAGAGGCTGCCAATTCCTTTTGTTTGTGGTCAGATCGCTGGTAAGCTAGCTCTAGACGTAATCGAACGTGTGGCACGTGGTAATGATGAGAGTGGCGGCCGCCCCCCTAAAGATTAACATGCAGAGAAGCCCTTCAATGACTCCACAATTAGTCAGTGAGCCTCCACAAGCCGAGTCCTGCAGTGATAGCACTCTGTTTTTGCTTTAAGTAGCTGAGCTGCCAACTTGACAGAGTGTAACTCAATGAAGTCCGTTGATGATTATTGAGTTGACTGAAGGCGATGATTTCTCCTAGCTCGTGCTATATTGCGCCAACAGGCTTGCCGCATAATGTCACGGGGCTTGTGATCGAGCCGAGCATGCTGATCCCCATGTAGTACTCAAAAGACCTTTGTGAGTCGAGGACTTCGATATGGAGCATGGAGTCGATCATCTGAACTTCCGAAGCTATCGATTATTGCTTAATTACCCAAGCCATTCAACAATTGCATGGGAACATGGGGACAAACGTCTCTTGCATGCACGTGGGATGCGCACGCTGATCCTGCCAACGTGCAAGGCCCATCACCGTCTGCACGATGAGATGAGTCACCTGCACATCACCAGATATGCATGCGAGCTACGTTGAGAGCTGATGCTCCGGCCGGATCGACTCACGGCAGCTATACAGTGCATGCGCGTTTCTAAACGGCGGCTGGAGTTGATAACATGCAGTCTCTGAATAGCTTGCGTCAAACATGCAGTGCAAAATCTGAGTGAGGTGCAAGCAACCAATGAAGCCGTCTGTCAACGGAGTTGACCGACATGGCTATACGCCATATAACATGCTCCAGTCAATCAGTTTACTCATATAAATATTTGCCTGCCTGTACCTTCTTATCCTATTTCTATAACTAGGAATCAAGAATGCCAGACTCGCAACTTCTCAGGTGTCTCGCATTACGGAGCCGGAATCCCTGTGTCTACGCATGCAGTCCCTAGCCTTCGATCGTTTTCCTGAACGTATACCCCACCTTGCTACCGTCTCTACCGGGTCCGCAAAACTGTCTGTTAGTCGAGTCGGGCCAACGATTCCCGCAAGCGTGCCCCTTGGAGATTAGCCAAATAAGTTAACGGCCATGCCAGACACTGACGTGACAGCACGGCAACAGTGCAGATTAGTCCATCCTCATTTCCAAGTCCTCTTTGATCGCCTCTCAATCATCTTGATGCGGCTGCGTCGTTCTGCTGAGGAAAGACGAGATTGGGGAGGTGATTCCCGAGCGCCACGTGGCGCCCGGAGCTTTGAAAGGGCTGCGCGGAGAAGCGGCGAGCACAGCGCGCGCGATCGGAGAAGCTACCGGGCTAAGGAAGCGAGGGGAGTGGAGGGGGCTCATGTTCTGGGAGAAGGCGAAGAAGAAATCGTCCTCCTGCACGGAGAAGAAGAACCGTCAGATTCGTCCTACAACCCGAGTAAGGGCCAGGTTCGCGGGTTTGGCAATCCGCGGCAAGGAGAGGGGATGCTATCGACCTGGCAGATTGCGGGGCAACGGAAAGCGTCTGCATCTGTTCAACCATGTTCCTTCAGATCCACATTCAAGGATAGGTTGGATAACGACGGTGAGAAGTCGTGCAAAGCTGAGCTGTCGACGCCAGAATCCGACTTTTCGTCGCATCTGGCTGACGTGGGCGATGTGGGGAACACTCACCCCATCTGGGAACCCAGGACTGGCAAGCGCGTCCCCTCGGGGCGTCAGGCTCAGTAAGGTCGACCGCGAAAGGGGCGACCCTTTGACGCGCGTGGACATCGGGATGGCCGGGGACAGGAGCCCGGAGTACGTCAGCATGCCTGGCAAGAAAGAAACTAGAGCAGATTTAGCGAAAGCCCAGACGGGAGCAGTGCATTTGTGGATAAAAAATAATAAAACAAGACGAGGGTCAGGGACATGGGCACGGCTTGGAAGTAAGAAACCTGAGAGCTTTCACTTTTGTAACGCTTGCGAGCGACGTTTTCTAGTTTCCCAAGGAGGTCGCAGGAAGACAACCGCGGCATGCGGCAATGGCAGTGCTGTGCATACGAAACACGTCTTCGCAGCGTTCATAGTGCACACGAACCTGCGTAGCAACCACAAGGATAATTCTGATTGGACTACCAGATATCTACGGCCATTCTACGGCCGTCAAGTTGCTATAAGCCCCGCCAAACAAACGTACCTGGTGAAATAGCAGGGCCATCACCTCCCTGCCTCGCATCTTCAGCCGCCTCGTCCGCAACTTCCGGCAGCGCCAGCAGCCCGGGCATGCTTTCTGACACCAGACCTTGCGCCGGGGAGCCCTCTCTGACATCCGAATTCCTAGTGTCAAAGCGCTCCTTCCCGTCTCCTTTTACCTTTTCCTCTGTCCTCTTTGAATACCCCTTGACACGGTCACTCTGTTCCCCTTGTGAAACGCTCGGGAACGTGAAGCTGGTGTCAATCGGGGCCGAGGTCGCCAGGTCGGGCGCCTCGTCCGTCAGCTCCGTGATCCGCGGGCTTAACCCGATCTCGTTAGCCATGTCATCGAAGCAGTAACCACCGGGCTCAAAGAAGAGTTTCCGGGGGGTCAGACCGTACGCGCCGAGCATCGGTGAGAATACGCTCAGAAGCTTGGGGGTGGTCATCGGGGAATTCCCCGGGGTGTTGAGCTTTGGTAGGGAGGGTTTGGGCAGCGGAAGGGCCCCGACGGTGGGGCTCCTCGGTAGGGACGGGATCATGCCCGGGGAATTCAACCCGGGGGATCCCTCGTGCTGGAACGCCAGGGGCGAGAGGCGGAAGCAGGGCGGGTCGACGTTCCGGTCGGTGTACAGAAGGACGCCTGCGCGCGCACGGTGGAATGTGAGATGCGGGAAAACAAGTTTTGAGATTGATCGCTCGCTAATACTATCCAAGATGAGGACGGCAAGGAAGATGAGTGACCGTGCTTGGCATCAATAATTTGTTACCTCGTCAAACAATTAAGTGACTGAAATGCAGGGCCCCAGTAGGTCTTCATTCACTCCTGGTGGTTAAGGAAGAATTTACCCGATAAGGTCACCTCACAGCTCCGGTAAAGCATTCTGCGGTATCATTCGCGCCAGTTTCTACTCACCGTCCGAATCGTCAGCCAGGAAATGCCCGCCAGCGGTCGACCTTCTCGACGCCCCCCAGAAGCGGTCCTCCCACGCCAAACCCTTTGCCGCGTCGGCGGGCGCGCACGCGGAGGTGGGGGTGAGGTTTAGCGAGGGGGGCGCGCTCGAGATGCCGGAGCCGACGAAGGTGGGGGAGGCCTCGAAGCCGGGGGTGATGTACTGGTGGAAGTAGGACTTGGACTTGGGGGTGGACATCCACGAGATGATCTGGAGGAAGAAGATATGATTATGAAGCTTTGGTTTCAGTATTCAGAAGAACGGAGTTGCTTGTGTGCTCCGAAGTAGCGGAGTATCCACCTTTTTGATTGTTAAGAAAGTGAGTTGGGGGTGAAGCTTTGATTTTAGTCTGATAAAATAGGGAGTTGGAATCAGGACTTGTACGCGGGAGTGACATTCACGAGATGTTTGAAGAAAGAGAGAGAGTTTGATTTGTGTAGGGAATCGAGTTGTGTAGAGTGAGTGTACGAGCAGACGGAGCTTCGGCGTAGGCCTTGAAAAGTGGCACTCCCACAGATGACATCGAAAGCTAATGTGAGTGGACTGTGGAGCCGTCCTGATCGGTGCGCATCCATTGAAACCTCGCACTCAATCAGCCGTGCCTTTCAGACGAGAGCGCCTTCTAAGAGGACCACTCAGTATCACAGAAGCCGACAACCCGTACCTCTTGCATGTCGTTCTGCGACTGCGCCTGCCGATGCGCGTTGCTCCGGGCCAGCTCGCGGGAGTCCATGCCGCGCTCCATCGCGAGCGCGGTCCGCCGCATTGCGCTCGGGACGCGCGGCCGCACGCCGTGCTGCGCGAGCTTGTGCAGGGTTTCGGGGTTTAGGCGGCTGGGACCCACGCGGGTGGAGCTCAAGGGGCGCGCCCCCGGTTGCTTCCCCTCTGTAATACAAGGAGCAAAATGATGTCAAGTTTTACTAGTGATCAGAGGTTTGCGAAGGAGTATGACTGCTCAAATCTCGTTTGTGCGCGACCAAGGTCGGAAAAGCCGTTTCATCTTAATCATAAAACCAGAAGCAGGTTCGCCAACACAAGAATCCTTCGATGTCGCCTTTCTTATTGAAGATTGATAGATTGATGTTCGACGGCTTCGGTGCGGCGAAACGTTGTGCAGACTATGCTCCTCCTTCGTTAGAGCTTACGGGCTCATGAAATCTCAAGCTTTGTCGTATCTTCCTTAGAACTTCGAAAATCTCGCAATGAAGTTTCTAAGTAACGACAATAGTTGCAATTCCACCTAGACAGGACGAACGTGCAGCTGTCAGTAGCATCGAAAAGCGCTCTGCACGCACCATGCGGCGAGGACGGGTTGCTCCCGCTCGTCTTGGGTATGTGTATCGACAGGCTGGGCCTCGTGCGCTTCGGCTGATGCTGCATCTCCGCGGCCAGCAGCCCGACCGCCATCTCCGTGTCCCGGGGCACCTTGTGGACACGTGTCAGCAGGGCGTCCTCCGGCAACGCGATCTTCAATCCCCCTTCCCGTTTTGTATACTTCCTCTTCACCCGGGACGCCTGCTCGGTTGCCAGTCTCCCGGGGCTCGTCTTCTGCGCCTTGGCGCGCTGAATGCTGGCCAGGGCGTGCTGCAACTGGGTCGGGTAGCTGCGGCTTCCCTTCCCCCCCGGACTGCCGCTTTTCGAGCTGGGGGGGCGCGACGCCACCTTCGGGCGACCCCCCTCCGGCGTCCCGTAGATCACCCGGGCGTTTACGTTGAACTGGGACGCCGCTCGGTGTAAACCATTCTGCCTCTGCTGATGCTGGTGCAGCTCCTCTGATGTCAGCATCCTGCCCCGCTTGTGGGCGCGCGCGCTGCCAGGTGGCGTGCTGCGGTTGGCGCCTCCGGGATGGAACCCCTGGTGGTACTCCGGGTAGGCGCCATGTGCCGCTTCGTCAGCGTACCACGTGGCACTGTCCGGCACCTCGCCCCGGGCCCCGTAGTGCTCGCTGGGATAGTAGCTAGAATGGTGGCTACTCCTGCGTTCATTTGAATGCCCGTTTCCCCTGGGATCGTTTCCATCCCCCACGAAAAGCAGCCGTTGATAGGCCCCCCCCGGCAGCTCTCCTTCGGAAACGAAGTTCCCCTCGGACGCTTCCATCCCTTGACTCATATGACCGCCGCCGAAAAGCTCAGCCACGAGCGCCTGTGTCCGCTGCTCTGCGCTCTGGGGGGGTCGATACCTGCCCGAGTTGTCCCCCCCGGAGGAACCCGCCGCCTGCCAGTGCATCGAGAAAGGGTTGCCGTCCCTCTCAGCAAACGACTCGGAGCTTCGTTGCCGCTCGTACGCCGTTGGACCTTTCCTCTTGACCCCCCCGTTTTGTATCCGCTGAGCACCCCCCTCCTGTGGCGTGACTTTTGGCTCAAGCTTGGTCTTCACGATGATGGCACCCGGGTAAGGGGCGACCACTCCCTCTGGCGCCTTGTGCTCGATGGTCGCCCTCTTCCGCCGCTTGCGCTTGCCCGGTTTGTCGCCCTCAGCAATCTTCTTGGCCAGGGCGCAGTACCGGTTCTTCACGGCGTTATCTGTCCTGCCCGGGACGAGCTTGGCGATCTCAGTCCACCGATTGCCGTAGTTTCGATGGCCCTGCAAAGCATAAGTAGACGATATGATGAGCTGCAAGAGCCCGATCCCTTTATCGTTGTGCCCCGTGAAGGGGAGCTGCTTCTCGCGCTTGCAATCAGCCAAAAGGGTCGCAAATCTGAACGTTCCATGATCCGCCTTTGGAGCTAGATGGAGCTCAGAGAAAGTATCAACAACTTGAGCAGAGAAAGCTCGCAGATGAGCAGAGAAACCAGATCTGCTGGAAGCTGCCGTGTGCAATGAGTATCTCAAAGAAAGCCTTCAAAGCTCCAACACTGAGAACTGGACAAGATAGGTAGAAAAAAATCGTTGGGTATCGTTTTCATGTTCAGCTTGTTGAGCTCAAATTGACTTGGTGGATCGGAACGTTCTGTGAAGGCCAGGTCCCTCCTACTTTTTCTCTCATTCTTGTCCTCTTTGTGCCAAATCTAACGACCTGATGTGCTCGATCCAGGATTTGAGGATTCTTGCTGGAAGTCAGCGCATAACGATCCATCTATCAACTCGCAAGAGCAACTGTAACGCCTTGAGCTTGCTGAGCTATTGTCAGGAATGTTGGGTCTTAGCTTGCACTCAATGTCTGCAACAAGACCGCTGTGCTCAGGTTTGCCAAAATGGTCAGAAACGGAACCTGCCAGGGGGTCAGCTAGAGTACGGTTCGTGAGATTGAATTATAATGCATAGCCTTCGTATTCGACTGCAAGCTTTCTATCATGCTCACGATTCCCAAGCAGGAAAATTCAGCATGTTGTGGCTGACCTCTAGCAGCAGCCTGTCCTCCTCCTCGCTCCAGCCTCCTTTCTTGCCTATCAGGTTCATGATGATCTGCCACCGGCGCCGGCACTGCTTGCTCGTCTTCTCAGCCATCTTGCCAGCAATAGCGGCCCACCTGATATCGATCCAGTTGCATATGGAGTCAATCTTCAAAGTGTAGATAAGAGAAAAGTGCAGAACAACGGATATTCCAAGCAAGTTTTGATGGCAACAGAACCTGTCAGTCCTACATGACAAACTGCTGAGAGGAAGCAGAATAGACTTCAAGAGCTCACTTTTGTGTCCCATATTTGCCAACCAAGTCTCTTAGCTGCTCATCTTCCTGCAAAAGAGAATAAGAGAACCTGAGAACACTATGCAGATATGGACGACAGAAGCTTCTGCTGAGGCCAGCACATGCAGCAGTGCTCCATCTGTATGCTTTGAGCAGAGATTTGTGACTTTTTCCACAGAATCTGGGACCTAAATCAGCTGCAGAAAGAAATACGTAGAGAAAGACGAAATCACTTGGATGCACATCAAACTCATCATACTCAATCATCTGGAAGCTTCCAGTCTGCAATTCTGCATTAGCTTTAATTGCCGAATCCTTGTCCTTGAGTAACCTCGACCGTTTGATTCTGCCGTCAGCAGTTGGTTGCAAACCATTGGACCCCTTTATTGGGAGGAAAGAAAATTGCAGATAGGTCCTCTTCTGCGGGGAGCTCTTGCAACACGTGTCTTTAGGTCCAGTTCTCCATTGCCATGTCGCAACAGGCAGTTGGTGAGCTTGTGATACCTTCACTCTCATGGATAGTCACAGCTGAGTGGCTGGTCTGTCAGCGTTCAATTACTTACTGAAGGTTCTAAGGTGTACTTACCTCTGTACTCCAGATGACAGGTATCTTTCCATCCTTGCCTAGAGGTGCATCTTCAGCAGATTTCACCTGCGCCACAGTCAACTGGATGGCAGCAGGTTGGAACTGCTGAAGCTGAGGTTGCAAACCCTTAGCCGATGTGTCCTGGTACATGTAATACGCCATTGTATCAGGCAGGGAGGTGCTTGCAGGACGTCTTGGGTTCATCCTTTGCGAAGAAGTGGAAGCAGCCACTCCAATGCAGGCAAACCCTTCCTTTAGCACTGCATCAGCATTTCTCATTCAGCACTTATCCAAACCCTTCTTTGGCGGAGTCAAGCACCTTCCACTGTCTCAGCTATCACTTGCATTTTAATGATCATTGGGGCGAGCTCCATGCCGCTCCTTGCTTCCAGCCCGCAAACAAGTCCTCTCCTTTAAGCAGGACACTGACAATCGTCTGCTTCGATTGCAGATGCGAGCTGGATCGCCTGACTCATCTCCAGCTGTTCCTCAGCATGTCTCTTCCCCACTTTGCTTATGCTGCGTTAATGATTCAGCACCAGCTGAAAATATGGCCGGGTCACCTTCAACATGCTTCCGTTCGTATCCTGCTTCTATTATTCTCAGAGGGATCCTGTTTCAAGGGCAGGAGCTGTTCCTTGCGTTTGCCAATGCTCTGCCAATGGGAGTTCATCCTGAACGCAACAGCTGCAGGAACAGCTCCACACAGGCTCCACTCTGGTTGCAGATTGCATCGGCAAGCTGGTTTTGCAATCCAACCTCACGGTACTGAGCCTCGAGCTCTATAGATACGGTAAGAGCAAGCAGGATTTTTTCCGAGACAGCCTGGAAGTCAAAGCTTTCTGCCATCTGAGTCGCTGCAGACTGCCCCTAGGCTCATATAGAGCCCTTCGGTTTGCCGACTGCGGTTGCGGCAACTTCCTCCAACCTTGCAGGGCTAGTTACTGTAGGCAGTGTAGCTGTGCCAAGTTGAAAGTTTGGTCGAAGAGCTGACCTAGGTACTAGGTAAGTACGGTGTAAGGTGAGAATGCTGAAGTACCTACATACTACATGATGAAAACGTCCTGATCTGATTCATTGGGACCATGCGAGATATGTAGCCAGGGAGGCATTCAGTCCTACTATGTAATACGGTAGCTTCGAGTTGTACCAGCTGTGTACGATACGGTATGCTGGCCGGAGCTAGGCTGGCGGTGCAAAGTGTACTGCCGTACCCGTTCACGCGAACTCGACTGACCCGGTGTGCTTCCAAGGTGTTGCGGGCCAGGCCTGTTATAAGTAGCAGTTACGATGCCCCAACATCGGACGGTGGTAGGCCCTAGACTCGATTTGACTACGGTAGATCGAGGGTATATAGACAAATGACGTCACTGCTTCAGACCTCGCAATCACAGGCAGGGAAATGTTCGCCGGCCGCTTGATGGGAGATTGTGCGGCTCAGAGAGAACGTAGCCTTCTACCGGGTTTAGGCTCGGGGAATGCTAAGCTGCTATAAGTTGCAGGCACGCTGGGCCTGCAGAGACCGGTAGAACTGCAAGTCGCACGCCGCCAGTAGGCCCGGCCGCCTAGCCGGCCGCGCTGCAATTAATTAAAACCCTGAACCTCCTTAAGCCCGGCCGCGTCAGACTGGCGGGTTGGCGCCTTGAAGAAGCGTCGTCCTAATTGCGCTTTGTTCAAGTTGATTGCGCAAAAGGGGAGGCGCCAGAAGGGGCGCTCCAAGGAGACCTTTGTTTTATTGGGGGATTCACACCACATAAGAGCCCCCTTGTGGTGATCAGTGGGAATAGGCCCTGAGTGCAAATAGCCTGTACCCGCCATGGAGCCGCAATTAGGAACCCTGATCGAATTGCTAGGGCCAGCAGGACTGATTGGGGAGTACTTGTGGCATGAATTGCCAGGGCCTGCACCAGGTACGGGTAGAAGATTCTGGACCAGAGTCGTGGACGTTGAAGCGGCAACAGGCAAGTTTTGGCTGGAAGATGGAAATGGCGAATTGTTCCATAGATCGGTGGACCAATCCGAGCTTAGGATCGGAATTGGCTCCAGGTATCCCGGGGACACGCTGCTTCTAAGGCTCAGGGAGAAAGGCTTGCAGCATGACGTCTTCTAGGTGGCCATTCCCGGGGCCCCTCCTTCTGAACCACTGGGTCCGGTAGGGCCAGCAGGTGGTGCTCAGCAGCAACAGGGGCAGGCCACACAGCAGCAGCCAGTCAGGAGAGTAACGATCCCTGACCCACCAGCTGTGACGCCAGGGGCTGCAGTGCTTAATGCTCTCACCCCCGGTCTTATGAGGGAGGCAGACACGACGGGATCAGCAGCGCGACTGGAGAGGGCATTCAAAGAGTTTGTGCAGAAAGGGTCACTGATCTCGCATATGGAGGCAGCTCTGCGGAAGATCCCCAGGGATTCTCGGGCGTGGTATACGAAGTTTGAGCAGCTCTTCGAGGTATACAAAGAGCCAGACCCGAAAGCGGCCCACCTAATGGCAGCGGTCTACTTCTACGCCAACCAAATCAACTTCGTGTCTAGGGCCTCGACCTCGAATACTTGGCGGATGGGTTCATCACTGATATGAAGATGGCGCTGGAGGAAGCAGGGGACAGCAGCAGTTGGACGGCGGACACGGTGCGAGACCTCGAAAAGCAGATAAAGAAGTCTTTCGAGAAGTACCGCAAGGAGGCGCAGACCCAGCTGGGGGAAGGCAACGCACGCCCCTTGGTGCTGCGGGGCGCAGGAAGCGGAGGCGGCAGCTTTGGGAGGTAAGGCCTGGATAAGTTAGCTTTCGCATCTCAGTGATATGATCGTGGCGGGGAAGCCACGAAAATGAACGTTGTATGGCCTGGACTGGACTCTAGCTGTTGCGCCCTAGGAAAGGTGGCCAGTCGAGTGCATAATTCAGTCAGAACACATGCACTTTATCAGAAGCCTCGATAGGTATTGAAGAGCAAGATGACGAGGCCTGCAACAGATGCGAGTGGAACTTCAGACGCTTAAAAGTCGAGCGAATTGCCATGCAAAGAAAAGGAATCCTCCCAAAGTGAGGCTGGCAGCAAGATTCAAAACGCCCGCAAATGTTCTTGAAACTTTTGATGCCACCAGATTGTTCGCCGATAATGGGCGGCCAAGAAGAACGCGGGGACCCAAAAATAAACAAAAAAAGTTTGGCTCAGATGCCATTGACAAAAGTGAAGCCCTGAAGCGGCCTTATTAACAAAAACCTCCTCCAAATAACAGGAGCGGATCCAAAGATGGGCAGCAAGTAAAACGGAAAAGGCCAAATGGCTATTAAAGTTCGGCTCAGATGCCATCACAAAGCACAGCCCTGATGTGACGTC